ATACACACAACGCTCATAACGCTCGCTGGGTCAGCTGGACTGAACTGAACTGTTGAATTGGCATTGACCCGTGCGACACACACACACACTCCTGCTGTGGTATTGGGAGAGACTGTTGAGCCGCTGAGCAAGCCTCTGCCACACACACACACAGCTGCATGTACACACACTTACACGTTACTGTGTGCTGCTCAGCCCACTGCCAGCTGCCAGGGCAGATGTTTATGTCTGTTTGAGAAAAGGTTTGATGGTTCTTTGTGTTATAAGTTGATTCATATCGCCTGAGGTGAATTCTTATACCTGTGCGAGAGCGTTTTGATTTTTTTCCTTTATTACAGTTTGATTATCATAACCAGTTTCCTCGTCTTATTAACTGTTTGTGCTATATATGTGTCATATAATTAGTTATTGTAGAACTTAAGTGAGCTCTAGCTGCTAGTAGTGTTCTCTTTACCGACTTTAATTGAATGGTAGTCAGGTTACTCTAATCTGGGGGTAGGGGCGCCTCACTTGGGAAGCCGGCTTAGGATAGTAGTGGGGTGGTGACGGACGTGCTGGACCATACCTCACCACATACACCTTCAGGCAGCTACTGTACTTTACTGAAGCCCACTCTACCAAGCCTAGGTGTGCTACCAAGACAAAACGTGCTGCCACAACGGGAGTATTGAGGCCTTTAGGTATTGGGCGTGGGGGACCTAGATCCTGTCCCGTTTGGTACTCCCCACGGTTAGGGTTAGTTAATTCCCCTACAAGGCGGCGGTAAAATCCCGTCCGCTACATAAATATGGAATTTGGCTTTGGAGCTTCAAAAAAGCAAACAAATTGAAGGCTGTACATTTGTAACTTAAGAATAGCTACTAAGGAAAATGAAACAGTTTGTCATAAAACCCTTTGTCTTAATGGGGAAACTACAATGAATCACTTTCCAAGGAACGGCTGCAAAAACACAGAAACAACTCTTCAAAAGTCCTTTACGGTCATCCAGGAAGAAGCAGGGCTGCTGGGTTAAAGAATGGAAAATGTAAACTTGAGCTGCTGTGGAAGGGGAAGAGGCACATGGATTATACTTGTAGAGGTGCTTAACAATTGATTCATCTTGTAAAAATTCTTTGCGAGAACCTTTCCTGTATCATAAGGACGAAGGGTCTATAAAATGGAAATTGGGTTTTCAGGGGATAGGGGTCCTTGTACCCTACATACTCAAGCTCCGGAACCCCAAAAAAGATACACATCTAGTCCAGAAGCCCAATTAGATAAACTTTTGACTCACAAGGAGAAAAGATCATTAAAATTGACCCTGGTGGTATTTGGAGTTAGGGATGTGTACATTTATTCTCAGGGTACTATCAGTTTCCATTGGACCCATGCACCCACACTTACTGTAAGCCTAGAAATTGTGGTAGAGGTTTTGGGGAAGATTGGAAGTTTTGAGCCCTGGTATGCTGAGCACTCACCCAATGAAGTACATGGCTTACCTAAGAGATGTTTGATATTGAATAGTAGGAAAAAGAACAATCATTTATTTTTTTACAGAGCAAGTCAAGCCTGGTTAAAGAGAGGATTATGTTTTATATTCAAAAACATCCATTTTGAGTGTGTGTCGAGGTGTAGTTTTGTATATGTAAATTATTGCAAGTGCAATTGAATCATTTTAGTGTTGGAAATCTTTGATTTGCTGGAAGTCCTGATTAGATACTCACCTGTACTACCAGTGATGAGCTACAATAAATGGAATCTATAGCCATCTGACTATTTGGGTCCTATCTACAGGTGCTGGTCATAAAATTAGAATATCATGAAAAAGTAGATTGATTTCAGTAATTCCATTTAAAAAGTGAAACTTGTATATTATATTCATACATTACATACAAACTCATATATTTCAGATGTTTATTTTGTTTAATTTTGATGATTACAAATGACAACAAATGAAAATCTCAAATTCATCATATCAGAAAATTAGAATATTACTGAAGACCAATAAAAACAAAGGATTTATAGAAATGTTGGCCAACTGAAAAGTATGAACATGAAAAGTATGAGCATGTACAGCACTCAGTATTTAGTTGGGCCTCCTTTGGCCTGTATTACTGCAGCAATGCGGCGTGGCATGGAGTCGATCAGTCTGTGGCACTGCTCAGGTGTTATGATAGCCCAGGTTGCTCTAATAGTGGCTTTTAGCTCTTCTGAATTGTTGGGTCTGGTGTATTGCATCTTCTTCTTCACAATACCCCATAGATTTTCTATGGGGTTAAGGTCAGGAGAGTTTGCTGGCCAATTAAGAACAGGGATACCATGGTCCTTCAACCAGGTACTGGTAGCTTTGGCACTGTGTGCAGGTGCCAAGTCCTGTTGGAAAATGAAATCTGCATCTCCAAAAAGTTGGTCAGCTGCAGGAAGCATGAAGTGCTCTAAAACTTCCTGGTATGTGGCTGCGTTGACCCTGGACCTCAGAAAACACAATGGACCAACACCAGCAGATGACATGGCACCCCAAACCATCACTGACTGTGGAAACTTTACACTGGACTTCAAGCAACGTGGATGAAGTGCCTCTCTTCTTTTCCTCCAGACTCTGGGACCTTGATTTCCAAAGGAAATGCAAAATTTACTTTCATCAGAGAACATGACTTTGGACCACTCACCAGCAGTCCAGTCCTGTTTCTCTTTAGCCCAGGCAAGACGCTTCTGACGCTGTCTGTGGTTCAAGAGTGGCTTGACACAAGGAATGCGACAGCAGAAACCCATGTCTTTCATACGTCTGTGTGTGGTGGTTCTTGAAGCACTCACTCCAGCTGCAGTCCACTCTTTGTGAATCTCCCCCACATTTTTGAATGGGTTTTGTTTCACAATCCTCTCCAGGGTGCGGTTATCTCTCTTGCTTGTACACTTTTTTCGACCACATCTTTTCCTTCCCTTCGCCTCTCTATTAATGTGCTTGGACACTGAGCTCTGTGAACAGCCAGCCTCTTTAGCGATGACCTTTTGTGTCTTGCCCTCCTTGTGCAAGGTGTCGATGGTCGTCTTTTGGACAACTGTCAAGTCAGCAGTCTTCCCCATGATTGTGTAGCCTATAGAACTAGACTGAAAGACCATTTAAAGGCTTTTGCAGGTGGTTTGAGTTAATTAGCTGATTAGAGTGTGGCACCAGGGGCCATCAATTTTGAACCTTTTCACAATATTCTAATTTTCTGATATGATGAATTTGAGATTTTCATTTGTTGTCATTTGTAATCATCAAAATTAAACAAAATAAACATCTGAAATATATGAGTTTGTATGTAATGTATGAATATAATATACAAGTTTCACTTTTTAAATGGAATTACTGAAATCAATCAACTTTTTCATGATATTCTAATTTTATGACCAGCACCTGTATATGGCTTGAACAAGAGTGCATTGATATGTTTTACAGTGCTTCACCACATCAGTAACAGGATTTAAATCCACACGTTAATGGGCAACTGCTTTCTAGCACACAAATGGCAACCTATTGGTAGAAGACAAGTCCAAGTAAGCAGAAAAGACATGTCAGAAGTGGGATTCGAACCCACGCCTCCATTGGAGACTGCGACCTTAACGCAGCGCCTTGGACCGCTCGGCCATCCTGACTTCCTGCTGCATATTGGAGATGGATTTTGGAAGACTTTAAATAAGCTGAGAGAGCAGGTGGGCATGATGAGGGCTTTGTCAAAGACCGTTAGAGCTCCCACAACATGCCTATGAGAACCCACCCTGGATCACAATTAACATAAGGTCAAGATAATTCCACCTTGGGAGCTCAAAGAGAAGAGGTGGTTGTGGCTTGATTCCCAAGTTTACTCATCTATCCTCAGAGACCCGGATACCCACAACTAAATATGGAATTTGGCTTTGGAGCTTCAAAAAAGCAAACAAATTGAAGGCTGTACATTTGTAACTTAAGAATAGCTACTAAGGAAAATGAAACAGTTTGTCATAAAACCCTTTGTCTTAATGGGGAAACTACAATGAATCACTTTCCAAGGAACGGCTTCAAAAACACAGAAACAACTCTTCAAAAGTCCTTTACGGTCATCCAGGAAGAAGCAGGGCTGCTGGGTTAAAGAATGGAAAATGTAAACTTGAGCTGCTGTGGAAGGGGAAGAGGCACATGGATTATACTTGTAGAGGTGCTTAACAATTGATTCATCTTGTAAAAATTCTTTGCGAGAACCTTTCCTGTATCATAAGGACGAAGGGTCTATAAAATGGAAATTGGGTTTTCAGGGGATAGGGGTCCTTGTACCCTACATACTCAAGCTCCGGAACCCCAAAAAAGATACACATCTAGTCCAGAAACCCAATTAGATAAACTTTTGACTCATAAGGAGAAAAGATCATTAAAATTGACCCTGGTGGTATTTGGAGTTAGGGATGTGTACATTTATTCTCAGGGTACTATCAGTTTCCATTGGACCCATGCACCCACACTTACTGTAAGCCTAGAAATTGTGGTAGAGGTTTTGGGGAAGATTGGAAGTTTTGAGCCCTGGTATGCTGAGCACTCACCCAATGAAGTACATGGCTTACCTAAGAGATGTTTGATATTGAATAGTAGGAAAAAGAACAATCATTTATTTTTTTACAGAGCAAGTCAAGCCTGGTTAAAGAGAGGATTATGTTTTATATTCAAAAACATCCATTTTGAGTGTGTGTCGAGGTGTAGTTTTGTATATGTAAATTATTGCAAGTGCAATTGAATCATTTTAGTGTTGGAAATCTTTGATTTGCTGGAAGTCCTGATTAGATACTCACCTGTACTACCAGTGATGAGCTACAATAAATGGAATCTATAGCCATCTGACTATTTGGGTCCTATCTATATGGCTTGAACAAGAGTGCATTGATATGTTTTACAGTGCTTCACCACATCAGTAACAGGATTTAAATCCACACGTTAATGGGCAACTGCTTTCTAGCACACAAATGGCAACCTATTGGTAGAAGACAAGTACAAGTAAGCAGAAAAGACATGTCAGAAGTGGGATTCGAACCCACGCCTCCATTGGAGACTGCGACCTGAACGCAGCTTGGACTGCACTTGGACCGCTCGGCCATCCTGACTTCCTGCTGCATATTGGAGATGGATTTTGGAAGACTTTAAATAAGCTGAGAGAGCAGGTGGGCATGATGAGGGCTTTGTCAAAGACCGTTAGAGCTCCCACAACATGCCTATGAGAACCCACCCTGGATCACAATTAACATAAGGTCAAGATAATTCCACCTTGGGAGCTCAAAGAGAAGAGGTGGTTGTGGCTTGATTCCCAAGTTTACTCATCTATCCTCAGAGACCCGGATACCCACAACTAAATATGGAATTTGGCTTTGGAGCTTCAAAAAAGCAAACAAATTGAAGGCTGTACATTTGTAACTTAAGAATAGCTACTAAGGAAAATGAAACAGTTTGTCATAAAACCCTTTGTCTTAATGGGGAAACTACAATGAATCACTTTCCAAGGAACGGCTTCAAAAACACAGAAACAACTCTTCAAAAGTCCTTTACGGTCATCCAGGAAGAAGCAGGGCTGCTGGGTTAAAGAATGGAAAATGTAAACTTGAGCTGCTGTGGAAGGGGAAGAGGCACATGGATTATACTTGTAGAGGTGCTTAACAATTGATTCATCTTGTAAAAATTCTTTGCGAGAACCTTTCCTGTATCATAAGGACGAAGGGTCTATAAAATGGAAATTGGGTTTTCAGGGGATAGGGGTCCTTGTACCCTACATACTCAAGCTCCGGAACCCCAAAAAAGATACACATCTAGTCCAGAAGCCCAATTAGATAAACTTTTGACTCACAAGGAGAAAAGATCATTAAAATTGACCCTGGTGGTATTTGGAGTTAGGGATGTGTACATTTATTCTCAGGGTACTATCAGTTTCCATTGGACCCATTCACCCACACTTACTGTAAGCCTAGAAATTGTGGTAGAGGTTTTGGGGAAGATTGGAAGTTTTGAGCCCTGGTATGCTGAGCACTCACCCAATGAAGTACATGGCTTACCTAAGAGATGTTTGATATTGAATAGTAGGAAAAAGAACAATCATTTATTTTTTTACAGAGCAAGTCAAGCCTGGTTAAAGAGAGGATTATGTTTTATATTCAAAAACATCCATTTTGAGTGTGTGTCGAGGTGTAGTTTTGTATATGTAAATTATTGCAAGTGCAATTGAATCATTTTAGTGTTGGAAATCTTTGATTTGCTGGAAGTCCTGATTAGATACTCACCTGTACTACCAGTGATGAGCTACAATAAATGGAATCTATAGCCATCTGACTATTTGGGTCCTATCTACAGGTGCTGGTCATAAAATTAGAATATCATGAAAAAGTAGATTGATTTCAGTAATTCCATTTAAAAAGTGAAACTTGTATATTATATTCATACATTACATACAAACTCATATATTTCAGATGTTTATTTTGTTTAATTTTGATGATTACAAATGACAACAAATGAAAATCTCAAATTCATCATATCAGAAAATTAGAATATTGTGAAAAGGTTCAAAATCGATGGCCCCTGGTGCCACACTCTAATCAGCTAATTAACTCAAACCACCTGCAAAAGCCTTTAAATGGTCTTTCAGTCTAGTTCTATAGGCTACACAATCATGGGGAAGACTGCTGACTTGACAGTTGTCCAAAAGACGACCATCGACACCTTGCACAAGGAGGGCAAGACACAAAAGGTCATCGCTAAAGAGGCTGGCTGTTCACAGAGCTCAGTGTCCAAGCACATTAATAGAGAGGCGAAGGGAAGGAAAAGATGTGGTCGAAAAAAGTGTACAAGCAAGAGAGATAACCGCACCCTGGAGAGGATTGTGAAACAAAACCCATTCAAAAATGTGGGGGAGATTCACAAAGAGTGGACTGCAGCTGGAGTGAGTGCTTCAAGAACCACCACACACAGACGTATGAAAGACATGGGTTTCTGCTGTCGCATTCCTTGTGTCAAGCCACTCTTGAACCACAGACAGCGTCAGAAGCGTCTTGCCTGGGCTAAAGAGAAACAGGACTGGACTGCTGGTGAGTGGTCCAAAGTCATGTTCTCTGATGAAAGTAAATTTTGCATTTCCTTTGGAAATCAAGGTCCCAGAGTCTGGAGGAAAAGAAGAGAGGCACTTCATCCACGTTGCTTGAAGTCCAGTGTAAAGTTTCCACAGTCAGTGATGGTTTGGGGTGCCATGTCATCTGCTGGTGTTGGTCCATTGTGTTTTCTGAGGTCCAGGGTCAACGCAGCCACATACCAGGAAGTTTTAGAGCACTTCATGCTTCCTGCAGCTGACCAACTTTTTGGAGATGCAGATTTCATTTTCCAACAGGACTTGGCACCTGCACACAGTGCCAAAGCTACCAGTACCTGGTTGAAGGACCATGGTATTCCCTGTTCTTAATTGGCCAGCAAACTCTCCTGACCTTAACCCCATAGAAAATCTATGGGGTATTGTGAAGAAGAAGATGCAATACACCAGACCCAACAATTCAGAAGAGCTAAAAGCCACTATTAGAGCAACCTGGGCTATCATAACACCTGAGCAGTGCCACAGACTGATCGACTCCATGCCACGCCGCATTGCTGCAGTAATACAGGCCAAAGGAGGCCCAACTAAATACTGAGTGCTGTACATGCTCATACTTTTCATGTTCATACTTTTTAGTTGGCCAACATTTCTATAAATCCTTTGTTTTTATTGGTCTTCAGTAATATTCTAATTTTCTGATATGATGAATTTGAGATTTTCATTTGTTGTCATTTGTAATCATCAAAATTAAACAAAATAAACATCTGAAATATATGAGTTTGTATGTAATGTATGAATATAATATACAAGTTTCACTTTTTAAATGGAATTACTGAAATCAATCTACTTTTTCATGATATTCTAATTTTATGACCAGCACCTGTATATGGCTTGAACAAGAGTGCATTGATATGTTTTACAGTGCTTCACCACATCAGTAACAGGATTTAAATCCACACGTTAATGGGCAACTGCTTTCTAGCACACAAATGGCAACCTATTGGTAGAAGACAAGTCCAAGTAAGCAGAAAAGACATGTCAGAAGTGGGATTCGAACCCACGCCTCCATTGGAGACTGCGACCTGAACGCAGCGCCTTGGACCGCTCGGCCATCCTGACTTCCTGCTGCATATTGGAGATGGATTTTGGAAGACTTTAAATAAGCTGAGAGAGCAGGTGGGCATGATGAGGGCTTTGTCAAAGACCGTTAGAGCTCCCACAACATGCCTATGAGAACCCACCCTGGATCACAATTAACATAAGGTCAAGATAATTCCACCTTGGGAGCTCAAAGAGAAGAGGTGGTTGTGGCTTGATTCCCAAGTTTACTCATCTATCCTCAGAGACCCGGATACCCACAACTAAATATGGAATTTGGCTTTGGAGCTTCAAAAAAGCAAACAAATTGAAGGCTGTACATTTGTAACTTAAGAATAGCTACTAAGGAAAATGAAACAGTTTGTCATAAAACCCTTTGTCTTAATGGGGAAACTACAATGAATCACTTTCCAAGGAACGGCTGCAAAAACACAGAAACAACTCTTCAAAAGTCCTTTACGGTCATCCAGGAAGAAGCAGGGCTGCTGGGTTAAAGAATGGAAAATGTAAACTTGAGCTGCTGTGGAAGGGGAAGAGGCACATGGATTATACTTGTAGAGGTGCTTAACAATTGATTCATCTTGTAAAAATTCTTTGCGAGAACCTTTCCTGTATCATAAGGACGAAGGGTCTATAAAATGGAAATTGGGTTTTCAGGGGATAGGGGTCCTTGTACCCTACATACTCAAGCTCCGGAACCCCAAAAAAGATACACATCTAGTCCAGAAGCCCAATTAGATAAACTTTTGACTCACAAGGAGAAAAGATCATTAAAATTGACCCTGGTGGTATTTGGAGTTAGGGATGTGTACATTTATTCTCAGGGTACTATCAGTTTCCATTGGACCCATTCACCCACACTTACTGTAAGCCTAGAAATTGTGGTAGAGGTTTTGGGGAAGATTGGAAGTTTTGAGCCCTGGTATGCTGAGCACTCACCCAATGAAGTACATGGCTTACCTAAGAGATGTTTGATATTGAATAGTAGGAAAAAGAACAATCATTTATTTTTTTACAGAGCAAGTCAAGCCTGGTTAAAGAGAGGATTATGTTTTATATTCAAAAACATCCATTTTGAGTGTGTGTCGAGGTGTAGTTTTGTATATGTAAATTATTGCAAGTGCAATTGAATCATTTTAGTGTTGGAAATCTTTGATTTGCTGGAAGTCCTGATTAGATACTCACCTGTACTACCAGTGATGAGCTACAATAAATGGAATCTATAGCCATCTGACTATTTGGGTCCTATCTATATGGCTTGAACAAGAGTGCATTGATATGTTTTACAGTGCTTCACCACATCAGTAACAGGATTTAAATCCACACGTTAATGGGCAACTGCTTTCTAGCACACAAATGGCAACCTATTGGTAGAAGACAAGTCCAAGTAAGCAGAAAAGACATGTCAGAAGTGGGATTCGAACCCACGCCTCCATTGGAGACTGCGACCTGAACGCAGCGCCTTGGACCGCTCGGCCATCCTGACTTCCTGCTGCATATTGGAGATGGATTTTGGAAGACTTTAAATAACTGAGAGAGCAGTGGGGCATGATGAGGGCATTGTCAAAGACCCGTTAGAGCTCCCACAACATGCCTATGAGAACCCACTCCTGGATCACAATTTACATAAGGTCAAGATAGTTCCATCCACCTTGGGAGCTCAAGAGAAAGGTGGTTGTGGCTTTGATTCCCAATTTTACTCATCCTATCCTAAGAGACCCGATACCCAAACCAAAAAACAAAATATGGAATTTGGCTTTGGAGCTTCAAAATAGCAAACAAAATTTGAGGCTGTACATTGTAACTTAAAAATAGGAAGCAAATTTTTTGGGGGAAATTTGGGGGGTTTTTTATTTAAAAAAAGGTTTCCCAAGATTTATTTATAAGAAATTAATTTTTATTTGGAAAAATTATTTTTTCCAAAAATGAAGGTTTTTAAAA